AAAAAAGGAATTGATAAGATGTTGGTTGAAAAAGGGAAAAAAATTTAAAAAAAAAGTTTAAAATAATTAACTTTGAAAGACTAAAGAATCATAATAAAAAAGCCATGAATTCTATGTGCAGTATTCCCCTATCCTTGGAGTTCTGCCGTTCTCATTGATCGGTAAACTTGGTCTTGGCTTGCTGGCTGTTCGTGCTGATCTTCTGGGGGAGGGGCCTGTTGCCGTGGTTCCCACATGTCTTTGCCGGAGGCGGAATTGCCCCGCCCTTGTCTAAGTCATCTGCTTGGGTTTGCTCTTGGGAGCTTTTGTTCCCTGCAAGCTCTCGGTGCAGCTTTGGAGAACGAGAGTGAAAATGGTGGCCTCCCAGTCTTCGCCCCGGAGGAGCTGAGAACTCGGGGCCCCACTCTCAGTGCGCCCCCAGAGAAAAGCAGTCACTCCCGTGTCCCTGGTCTCCGGCCGCACTCCGTGCTCACCCGGCCTGTGACCGAGCGTCTCTATCTCTGGCACCCGACCCCGCGTGGAGTCTCCAAACCCAGCAGATCCCTGCGGTGCGCTCCCGCGCCGCTCCTCCCGGGGGAGGGAGGGGAGTCTCCCCGGCTCTGCCGCTTGTTGGGTCACTGCTGGAGGAGCCCTGGCCCGACTGGGCCACGGATCACAGTTTATGGCCACCCCGAGCTGAGAGCCCACGCCTCGGCTCCGTCTCTGCAGCCGGCTTCCCCCCTCCGATCCCTGGGAGCTCTGCCGCACTCAGGTACCCCCGGTCTTTCTGTGACCCCGAGGGTCCTGAGACCCCACTGTCCCGCGAGGGCTCCACCCCCCACTTAGCCACTGGAGCGACGTCCCTCAGCGGAGCCGACTTCCAAAAGTTCCGATTTTGTGCTCCGCGGCTCTAGCACTTGCCAGAAGCGGCCGACGGAGGCCCCCTCCCCCGCCGTCTATCCTCCCGAAGATCGCCTCGGATTCACTTCTCCGCACGTCCTACCTTCCAGTAAGTGGTCGCTTTTCTGTTCAGAAAGTTGTTGCTATTCTTTTCTTCGATCTCCTGTTGAGTTCGTAGGTGTTCAGAATGGTTTGATCCCTATCCAGCCGAATTCCTGAGACCAGACGAAATCCAGGTCTCCTGCTCCCCCGCCATCTTGCTCCACCGAGGGTCTGACTCTTGATTTCAGCCCAGGTCGTGATCTCAGGGACCTGGGATCGAGTCCCACATCAGGCTCTCTGCTGGGCTTGGAGCCTGCTTAAAATTCTCTTTCTCCCTCTGCCTCTCCCCTGCCTCCCCCTCCCCCTACTTGATTCTCTTTCTCTTAAAAAAAAAAAAAAAGAACATAAAAGATTATGCATTGCCTTAATATTTGCAAAGAATCATTGAAGTATCTTTTTCAATCAGATTGGTTCATTATGCTCTTTTCTTGCCAGTGGAGGTAAAGTGTCTCAGGGAAGGGGGCACCTTTTCCTCATTTTGTGCTCAGGACCTCGTGGTAGCCTCGCCTGGCCCAGGTTCATGTCTCTTGGTTGGCTGTGATGCTGTGTGTGTCCCTGAGGTCCCCACTCCCTTCCCTGCACTGTGCTTGGGTCAGCTCAGGCCCACATCTCGCTGCAGAGAAGTATCCCACTGTAACTCACCCCTAAGCCTCCAGTTACACACGGCGAGGGCAGGAACAGAAAATCCAGAGCAGCCCACTCCCCTGGCTGTCTTCCTGCTGGCCCGCCCTGCCTGCTGTCCAGGCTGTGGTCAGCCCCTTGTTTTCTGGACTCATTTGTGGCTTCCCTCTGTCTTCCCCGGAATCACACCCCATCAGCTCTCAGGGAAGCTGTGGCCAAGCCAGCCTGCTGATCTCTCTCCTCCTGGAAGCTTTTGAGTAACAGGTGCAATGACATCCTCACCTGAAAACAAGTACCTTTGAGCTTGCTATTGGTATTGGAAATATATTGTTTATGGATACTGACATAGGTGGGAAAATTATCCACAAGATAATCGTGACTGTTGGGCAGGATCTTTGGTTGCTTTCTGTTCACCTCCCGGAACATGGCACAGTTCTGGATAGGTGAGTTTGCTGGATACTTGAGCTATAGAAGATCAAACCATAGGGTAATGCATTTTATTTTATTTAAGATTTTATTTAATTGAGAGAGAGAACACAAGCCAGGGGGAGGGGCAAAGAGAGGGAGAAGCAGACTCCCCCTGTGCAGGGAGCCCAATGCAGGGCTCGATCCCAGGACTCTGGGATCGTGACCTGAGCCGAAGGCAGATGCTTAACTGACTGAGCCGCCCAGGCGCCCCAGGGTAATGCATCTGAGAAGAGGCAACAGAGGGAACATTACTATTTCAAGGAAACCTGCAGTGCCCCAGCTCTTCCAAATTCAGGCTCAGGAAGGAGGCTTTGAGTTTGAGTCAAGAAATAGAAATGCCTGTCAGAGGCTGCTGATTTACTCATGCTTCTCTTAAGACTCTCAGGACAGGCAGAGCTAGCAGTGCAATGGGCCATCACTGGGGTGATAGACATAAAATTGGGGGCATGAATTGAGAACTTCCAGCCCAACCCACATGCAGGGCATAATGGGGAGAAAGAACGTGCACATCCTTGCTTTGTGAAGACCCGCCTGAGGACAATTTCATGGTTGATGTTTGTACTTTTCAGAATCCACAAAAAGAGATCTGATCAATAAGTTGTCAGAAGAGTCCCTCTTGGGCTGCATATTTTTCTCTTCTCCAGCACCCCAACTGCATTCTACTTTCTGGGAGTTGTCTTAACTCTTCCAAGTCACCAGTGGACCACCTGACTTGCAGAGAACGCTTCACATAAGAATTTACATGAAACCAGGGATGCCGGGGTGGCTCAGTTGGTTAAATGTCTGCCTTCAGCTCAGGTCATGATCCCAGAGCCCTGAGATTGAGTCCTGCATTGGGCTCCTTGCTCAGCAGGGATCATGCTTCTCCCTCTCCCCCCTGCTCGTTCTCTTTCTCTCTCTCAAGTAAATAAAATCTTTAAAAAAAAAAAAAGAATTTACCTGAAACCAGATCAACAGGTAGCTGATAGGTAGGGAGGTAGGTAGGTCAGCCTCCCTTAAAGAGCCCGACACCGGTATGCAAGGAGCAAATGGGGACTGCACCACTGATCAGTGATTTCGTTTTTGACTCTTTTAAGAGAGCTTCTCATACAAGGAAGCAACATAGAAAGGAATAACTATTTTGAGACTTTTTGCTCATGGCACTTCATACTTAAACAGAATTGGCAGTTTTTGAAATAACAGTTTAGAAAGATATTTTCTGTACAAATGAGCAAAGCCCAACCTTTACTGGAGGAGACCACATGTCCTCTCCAAATGACAGGGCCAAGAATGACTGCCATTTTCTTTGTACCCCCAATGTGCCGGGACCCACTAGGTGCTTTCCTTCATTTTGGCTGTTTGTTTATAAGAACATGGAAAGCCGGCTTTACCCCGTGTGGATTCACTTGCCCCAGATGCCAGAGCCAGGGAGCACACTGACACGCCCTCTGTGTCCTCTGTTCTTCCCCCCACCCTGCACCACATCGCCACACTCAACCTGTTCTCGCTGTCGAGGACACTAGGGCTCAGGGACAGAGGGGCTGGAACGAAGTGCAGACAACTGAGGTATTTTAAAAGAGGTCCCCGTTCTAATCAATGCCAGGTGGTCGTGGGCTCATTTCCTCTTTGCGTAGGACATTTGAGAAAATATTGCAAGAAACTTCTGAGAGTCCTTATTATTTGTTCCTAGGACTTTTTTCTCCTCAGTGCTCAAGGGGGTTTGGACACATGCTTCTGGCAGCGGGGGCTCTCTCCCCCAGGTAGGGCCCTGCCCCTTAGAGGGCCTTAACATAGGAGATGGTGCCCGGTGAAGAGTCACTAACTTATTTAAAATGAGTAATTTTTAAACATTATAGAGTATTTCAAAAGAAAAACCAAGAGTATAAAAGAGGCAAACAGTGAAAAGAAAGTCTCTCCCCCACTCTCAGTTCCTGGTCCTGCACTGCCCTCAAGGTCCCCGATGTCCAGCACCTCTGGGTCCTTCCAGGGATGCCCTGAGTGTGTAAGCACTTACCAGTGGAAGCAGACCTGATGCACAGTCCTGCGTTTTGCTTCGTTCACTTGATAACACATCTTTGAGATTATTCCACATCTACAGAGGAGCATTTGCCCTATTCTGTTCCCTTGCTGCAAAGTGTGGGGGCACTAGGATCTAATGGTCCCCTGTTGATGGGCAGCAGGTGCTTTCTAGACTTTTGGGGTTACAGTGTGGCAATAAGCAACATGTTGTATTCATTTTCTTTCCACTGCTCTATGAGAAGTCTGCACTATGACCTCATTAATTACCTCCTACCTCTGTACTTGCTGTAGTACAGAGCCTCCATCAATGTTTCTGCATTAATGGTGATGGGTAACATTTTTTAAGTGCTTACTGTGTATCAGGTACTATGCTAAACACCTTACATGGATCAGTATTTTTTCATATTGCCTCAATTTTAATCACTATAATGTTATTCTGTAAGAATGATATAAATTATATAAATGTGTTGTTACATACATATATTAACTTCTTACGAAAATAGATATAATAATAAATAAGTAATATTTAATGTGATTACCTCGATTTTATAGATGGGGCCGGATACCTGAGAAGTGGTAGAGGTGGGATTTGAACCCAGGTACTCTGGCCCCACAGTCAGTGTGCTGAACCACCCACTCTCTTGACTAGTGTTGAGAAAGTCACTTGAGTTTCTAAGGGTGCTGGCGAGCACAAAGTCTTTAGACTGAATGCATGAGAGTGGTGTATACAGTGGAGCTCCACAGCAAGCTGGGGGAAGTCCTACCCAGAGCGATGATCACGTGACAAGTGCCCCCAGAGCACGTGCACATTGGCCCCCAATGGCTCCAGCTCACCTGTGTCTCCGTCTCCAGACAAGCAAGGTGTGCCAAAGTCAGTACATTTGATGTGCACTTGTCAGATGTTTTGAGCACAACTCTTGTTTTATTTTTAGTAGAAGCAAAAGTATTTTCTGGAAGCAGCGAGAAGCAACAAGGAGAAGCACGTGTGACTTTGTCTGCTCCCCCAGTGGAACAGAAGCTGGTTAAAGAGTTCCTTCCCGATGGGTGTAGCTCTCCAAACAACAGCTGTCAGTCTAGCAACTTCTCTGAGCCCTCAGAGAGTCAACAGCAAAGCTTCCTGAAATCCGGAATCCCTTTATCTGGCTTTCTTTGCCCCTTACAAGATTTATGCACATCTCCACAGGAAGACAGTGATGTTCAGATAGAAAGAGAGTCCCCCAAAGGTAAGGAGCAAGGGAGGTAGGGTTGAGGTGGTTCTGCTGTGATATTCATATGGAAAATGGTATGATGTCTTCCTGAGCCCTGGTGCACACAAGCTCACCTCATAAAGCTGTCCCTTCTGGACCGTGTGAGCTGAGAGCGAGCAGGACCTGCAGGTTTCCATGGTGGGTGAGTTCTCCCTCCCAAGCATGGAGAAGACAACCCTGTGTGGGTCAGGGATTCCGGCCCCGCTGCGCAGCGGGTCCGGATCCACCAAGGCCTAGAGGAAAGCCACTCCCAGGCACATGGCAGGCTCCCAGGCTTAGCTAAGGAGGGTATGAGGCGTTGGTGTGGCTGCTCTGAGGTCCACCAGGCCGCCCGTGGTCTTCCGTGAGTGCCTAGCAAGGGTCCTGTCTGAGAGGTGCAGGCCCTGCAGTGTCCTCCAGGTGGGTCCCAGTCTGAGCCTCGCACCGATGAGGGAACCAAGAATTCCAACCCAGCCATCCCTCTTCTAAGACCCAAGCAGCTGACCCCTATTAATATTGCGGTGAACAGCGGTATATAAAAGAATATAAAGGTAGAATAGAAAAGAGATCTGTGGTGCCCAGTTTTCAGTGAGAAAACTTAGATCTCCTATCACTCTGAAGGTTTTCCCCAAACAGCTATGGATAAGGACAAAAAGAAACCCACCAGGTTATATAGCTTTGCAATATAAAGGTTAAAAGGGCTATCGTAGTTGACAAAACTAATTTCACCTGGGAGCCAAGTTAATCCCTAGTTCTTCATCCATTAATATATTGAAGAAACATTGATTAAACACCTACTATATACACACCTACTGTGTGCCGGTCACTGTGCTCAGTGCTGGAGACACCAGGAGCATACCTGTGTCTGTGCCGAGCCGTCAGGAAGCTGCCGGTGGCCGCAGGGGCTCCAGGGTGGGGCTGGACAGAGATCTCCTCCTCAAGGAAATGATTCTGAGCAGGGACTTGAAAGCTGACTAGAAGCTTACAGATCAGACCTGAGGGTGAAGAGTATTGCGGACTGAGGGAAAGGCACGCACAAAGCAAAGAGTTGATGGAGAGAATATGGTTGATTTGGGATCCAGGGGGCCAGAGTGCTAGGAGGCAGAGGGGGACCTAGTGGGAGTCTGAGGTCACACGGTCAAGTCGGAACGTCCTTCAGACCCACTCAGGGGCTTTGAACTGAAGTCAAGGCCAAGCCTTTGAGGGGCAGAGATCTAATTAGATTCCCTCTGAAAGAGACTGTCTCCTGGATGGAGGCAGGGCGGGGGGGTTGGGGATGGATGGGAGATGGTGAGGCTGGGGGCTGAGGCCCTGCCAAGGAGCACAGAGTGGGGAGGAGAGGCCACAGTAGTGAGACTTTGAAGATACAAGGGAGCACTGATGTGAGCACTGATGAAGACGGGCATGCCTGCACCGCCCCTGGGGTGCGGGGGCTGGTGGTGGGGTGCAGGTGGGAAAGGATGTGAGGCACTGTGGCATCCCTGTGGATGCGGTGAGGCAGGAGAAAGTTCACAGCAAGAAATGGGGACGGTGTGGTGGAAGGTGTAATTAACTCTAGCCGCAGGGGGCTTGGGGGATCGATATCTGGGCCGGTCGGTTAGGCTGGAAGCAGGAATAGGGGAGCAACAGGGAAATCCTCCAGGAAGCACAAGAGCAGATGCCCGAAGGAATGAAAGAGGACGATTTGAGAGCCTCTAAGTAGTATGTTGTTGGCACAGAACGGAAGGCAATAGTTGGAAGTGGAGCGTCCACCACAAACGAGCTACAAAAAGTCTGGGCTGCCTGCAGGACCTGTAGGTCTTAGGGAACATGGGTGGATTTTACATAGAAAGAGGACAGCTGGTTCAGGCCAGAGAGGATCCAGGCATGGATGGTGGATGTTCTAGCAGGGGCTTCAGGTAAGAGATTCAGGGGACCATGGAGATGCGTCCTGTGGCCCCTTGAGCCTCCTAATGGCCACCTCTCCACTCCCAACAGAACCAGCTCCTAGCAGGCTCCTGGGCTGCCCCCGGGGAGAGATGCAAGGTGAATATGACATGGTCCAGCCCTCGAAGGGGTCCCAGGCTTGTGGGCTTAAAGCACCCTGTTATGACCTTACCCCGTAAGCAGTGCTGCTGCGTGTGGCAAGCGTGTTCTGCCGTGAGAGCACACCGCTGGTGGGATGGAGCCTGCTTTGGGAAGGAGGGCACTTCCTAAAGGATTGGGGCTCAGCCTGCAGGTCGGAGGTCCCTGGGTTTGTGGCGGCAATAGGAGGGCATATGGGTGAGGAGTAAGATGCTGTTGGGTTTCAGAGCTGGGGAGGTGCTGGGAGGCTGTGTTGGGGGGCGGTGCGGACGAGGGTAGGGGAGCTCACACAGGAAGAGTGGGCTAGCGTGGACGGAAGGGACAGTGTGTCCCTGGCGGAGCAGTTGGTCAGCAAGTGGTCAGTGAATGCGTATTAATTCGTCCTTCCCCGCGCCAGAGGCTGTCCTGCCCAAAGTGCTGTTGAATCAGTGTGCCCCCTGACCTTTTCCACAAGGGATTGTCAGTGGCCCAGGAAGTGACCAGATCCAGCTGAGAGACAGAGAGAGAGAGAGAGAGAGAGAGAGAGAGAGAGAGAGAGATCATTCCAATTATACATGTAAAGCCAGTGGTATTCACTAGCGGTTGAAGGGAAGGGATAAATAATTGAACACCGTTTTTCTGTCTTACATCATTAGTGTAGCAAACATAAGACAAATTAATACACTGTCCCCAAACAACTGAGCTATAACAATTGTACAGGACACACTTAATATGAAGCCTGGAATAGAAAAGTTTCTTTTCATTGTGAACAGAAGCATTTTGAACCCTGGAAGCCGAGGGAATACCTCCATGGTATAATTAGCCGGTGCAAAGTCTGGCTGCCCACAGACATGCCTCCCTGTGACGGGGGGGGGGGGGGGGGGGGGAGGGGGGCCTGTGGAGGCAGGATCTCATAGGCTTAACGAGGCCCATTAATAACCCACTGGTGTTTCTATTTTCCAAATTGTCTTCTGTGTCTCATGACTCTGAGAAGCCAGGAGGAAATCTTGCTGCCCCTCTAAATGGGATTCTAAATCTTCTCTCCCAGGGGATTACAAGTGCTGTGACTTGGTTGTAAAAATAAAGGAATGCAGGAAGAGTGAGGAGCCCCCCGAGCCAGCACCCCTGGAACCAGCACCCCCAGAGCCAGTGTCCCCTGAGCCACCAGAGACCCCTGACCTGTCCGAAGACTGTTCTGAGGGTCAAGGAACACCTGTAAGCTCCTTGACCTTGCAGGTAAGGCCCTCTGTGCACCCCGGCTTGATCCCCACCGAGGGGAGACCTCTCCTGGGGAGTCCGTGGTGGGGGGGGTCACGATCTCACTTCCACCTCTGAGACTGGAGGCTTGACTCCCCTTCGTAATGGCTGTGTGACCCTGGGCAGGTCCCCTAACCTTTCTGGGCCTCTGTTTCACAGTGTGAGTGCTGGAGAAATGATGTCTACTCCACTGGGCTAGAATGAGGATCGTGTAATATTGGTCATGACAATGATCATAATGATCATAGTAGTGACAGCATTTCTTCTTTTTATTTTTTTAACAGCATTTCTTGAGAAGTTATGGGTAACACTGCGCAGGTCCCTTTATAGGCATCAGGGCCTTCCATCCACGCTGCCCCCCTATGGGGCACGGGTCCCTGTGATCCCATCTTCAAGTGAGGATATTAAGCTTTGGAAAGATTAAGGAGGTTGCCCTAAATCACATGGCCATGAGCTCAGGGATGTGAAAGCTTTCATTTGGTGTCTGTTCCTGGTTGTAGAAGTAATACGTACACATTTTTGAAAGTTCAAAATTACAGAGAGATAAAAATTAGCAGGGCAGACAACTCCGAGAAAGCTCCTGCTAGCGGCGTGTTGTATAATCGGGCATACTATCTGGGAAAGGACTTGATAGGCTGTAAACATCCCTGCAGATGTGGGGACAGTGCCATTGGCCGGTCCCTGCCCCCCGGGGTCCTCGGTAGGTCCATGGGAAGAGACTCATGATGACCCTGAAACAGCCGCGCTGGGCCAAGAGGCTGTTCCCAGGGGCTCTCTGAGCAGCCCCAGTGTGCCTGGGACCAGGGGACGGTGCCATGGAGATCAAGTGGCCAAGAAGACTCCTTTCCCGGCACAGCTGCCAAGGCCACTTCCAGGATGCAGATGGAGCCTGAACTGCCCTCCCCATGGGAACCCTGAGCTCCCAAAGGGCTGGGGGAGGAGTGAGGCAGAGGAACAGTCTGCCATATGGTAGCATATCCTACCCTACTGTGTGCGGGGCTCAGGGCAGTGGCGGGAGGGCCACAGGGTGGGTGAGAGCCATGGCATCCAGGAGCTCACAGCCCAGCCTGGCCATCAGTGTGTATGAATCCATTGTACGAGGTGGTCTGTGAGGTACCACAAGGCTCGGGCCGAACGGGACGACCCGACAGAGCTTACCGGGAGAGCTGGAGCACTCTGACGGGTGCGGCTAGGGTATTCCTCCAGGCAGTGGAACCATCTGAACAGAGGTTTTCAAGGAATAGCAAGAAGGCAGTGTGGAAAAAAAACGTGGAGGCCCCTCAGATCCACCAAACCACAATGAGCCTCGGATTTTGCCTCCATCAAATGGGGATAAGTGTATCTGCTGTTCAGAATCAATGTGGGGATTCCCAGAGACAGCGGAGCCACATAAAGCGCGTAGCCCAGTGTCTGACACAGAGTGGAACGCATCGGTGGTGGTATCTTTTTCAGTGGACCTGAGCACGTGCATGGGTGGAGGGGGGCGTGTACTGAGGGATATGGCCGAAGTGGAAATATGGCCATGCAGACATCCGCTGCAGAGCTTGCAGAACCAGTTTGCATAGCCAAAGACACTTTGCCAACTTTTTCTTCCTGGGAATAGACATTCCTGTTAGCCAAGATGACTGTTTCTCCTGAAAAGGCATGTATTTCACACTGGGTGGATGATCTCGGTCTGTGCGTGAGGCGTCCAACCCCCAGCAGAAGCAAGTGACTCATGGTGCCTTCATTCCTTCCCCACCCATGTCTCTTTGGAGGAGGGAGTTCGGGGCCCTCGGATTTCAGTCTGTTGGAAACCGACTGGATTGACGGGGAAGAAGGGATGGGTAGAAGTGTGCCACCTTGCTGTGAGTGGCCAGGCAGTCACGCTGCAGCGGGGCCCTGGGGGCTGGCTGGGATCGGCCCGCAGGACCTATGTCCTCAACATGCCTGTCACAGTCCTCACACAAGGCAGTGGCAGAAAATCGTGGTGTGCGGATGCGCTGTGGCTGTTGGTCTTTGAATGTTGTGCTTTTGATCAGCTTCTTGACCAAATCAGAGGGATGTCTCTCTTGCCCGCATCACTTCTATTAAAGATAAAATATTCTCTTGCTGCTGTTAGGAAGCCCTGGAAGTCCGGAAACCCCAGTTCATTTCTCGTTCCCAAGAACGGCTGAAGAAACTAGAACACAGGGTACAGCAGAGAAAAGCCCAGCGGACGGAGAACCTGGGCCAGAAGCAGAGTCTCTTTCCTCCCCGCGCCAACAAGAAGCAGTTCACGGTTCCCCACCCTCTTAGCGGTAAGCTCCAGGGGCCTCGGGAGGGCAGGTGAGACCAGGGGGGTCTGAGGGGCCTGGGACTGTGGTGATGGTACAAGTGATACCCTGGACCTGCCCCGGACTCAGGTTTGCTCCACGCATCCAAACCGCAGTTTCATAAAGCCTGCTCCGGAAGCCAGCCCATTGTGGGAGCTTCTAGAGGGCACTGAATTCAGCTGAACTAGCTTGGGACACAAATTTACCACTGTAGCTGGGAAAGAAGCCACACAACTGTAGCAGCCAGGGTAGCAAGTTCAAATTCTTGGCTCCTAACAGACATTTGCAAGCGATCCCCTTTGCCCTGTATAGATTGCAAAACAGATCTCAGGGTGAGAGGGTGACTCCAGCTTGTCTACATCAACATTCGTCATCTTGAAACCCTTTTCCTGCTGGGAGCTCGGAGAGTAGATGGCCAGCTTTCCAAACGCTGTGGAGCCAGTGTCGAGCTGACCCCGTGAGGGGCGGCACGCATACACTCGTTAGACAGGGAGTACTCAGGAATCTTCTCTGGGCCAGGCACCATGCTGGGAGCTGGGGATAGCACTGTGAGCCAGACTGGCCTTGATCCTTTCTTCCTGGAGCTTATAAACAGACTATTAAAGCAGCAAGAAAAACAAGAAGAGACGAGAGCAAAAATGGGGACATCGGAGCACATACGGATGGCCTGCCAACTCAAATCTGAAAATCTGGAGGCCTGGGGAAACCTCCCTTTTATTCCTTTGGATAGAGGAACAAGATCTTTCTTCCTAGGAAAATGTTCTGGCCCCCAGGAGGTGAAATCATGAGTATAAATCTGAATAAAAGTCCTTTAGGGAAATAACCATATTCAATAAAATGCAGCTTAGCAAACATTACAGACACTGTAGGGGAGCCTGGGTGACAGAGGACAAAGGGTGTTATTCCAGAATTCCTGCTCACCTCCTTGGCCTGTGGGCAGGCTGTCTCCTTCATCCACCCATGGTGCTGCAGGTCATAAGACCCCGGGCAAGGGTGCATCCTTCTCGTGGCAGAGGATTTAGCAGAACACCTGCTGCTCCTTCCCAGTGACATTTTCTAGTATGCTTTAAAAAAAAAAAAAAAAAAAAAGGAAATCAACAAAATGAACATGCAGAGACTTTCCCTCTTTGAAAATGAGTCTCACCAGTGTTACAAGCTGCTTGACAGATCCAGGCTCGATTTGGGTGTGTTCTCTTGGGGACTAAAATCTCTGGCTCGACAAAGAGCAACCTGGGTTCAGGTGCACGCTTTTCAAGTCACTAGGAGGAACCAACCGTCAGCCATAAGTGGGAGCCCCCCTGGACACTTGGACATCTGAGCTTGTCCTGGAAGGGCTTCAAGGGTGCTCCTGATGTGTGGGCCACTTGGCCTTGACATTTTTGAAGATCCTGCCTGTTAAAAAATGGTTAACAAATGTGTTGTCAACAAACATAAGACAGTGCCACTGTAGAGCTCAACAGATGCACGTATGAAAAATGGCTTCTGATTAGCTTCTTTTTCAGTCAGATCCCTTTGTTTTGTGTGGGAAGAAATGGGGACCCAGGGACACTCAGGAGTGTCTTCTGTGTGGGGCCATTCCTCAGCGGCAGCGCTGGGTTCTTCATCCCCTGGGCCAGCTGCTTTCCAGCTATGCCACACGGTGGGTGCCAAATCCTCCAGGATTACTATCATCACCAATATTAGAGAGATGCCCGTTGGTCCTCCCTAGGGCTGCTGTAACAAGTGACCACAGGCCGGGAGGCTAAAATAATAGAAATTTATTCTCTCAGAGTCAGAGGGCCAAAAATCCAAAATGAAGGTGTCTAAATGGTGGTTTTTTTTCTGGCGGCTCAGAGGGAGAATTCACGCTCTGCCTGTGTCCTCGCTTCTGGTGGCTTCTGGCAGTCTTTGGCGTTCCTTGGCTGATAGATGCATCTCTGCGTTCCCCACCTCCATCTTCACGCGGCCGCCTCCCCTTGTCTGTGTGTCTTTGTGTTCAAATTGCCTCATCTGAGGACACCAGTCACGGGATCAGGGTCCACCCTCATCCGGCATGAACCATTCTAACTCACACGCATCTGCAAAGACCCTGTTTCCAAGTCACGATTACAGGTTGGGTTGTGGGGTAAGGACTTGAACATGTCTTTTGGGGAGACATAATTCTACCCACTACATTGTCCAACCGTGGCGTTTTCCCCTAAACAGGTCTCCTTACAAGCTCACATTCAATGAAATCTTTAAATGAAGTTCACTTTAAATGAACATCTTCAACTCGTCTATAATAAAGGGTGATCAGACCCAGTCAGTAGTTTTAAATAACCAAGGTACCTTTTTGCCCCCCCCAGTTCTGAGGTAGCCCCAGCAAGTAGGATGCTGTGGCCTGGACTTTGGCGCAGGGACTTTATGGCCACTCTGCCCATCCCTGAAGTATTTATGTGTCGATGAGAGCTTTATGCTCCTGTTTGTTTGTGTTAGGTCAGTTAAAGCAGACAACTTCTGAAACCGGAGCCTCGTGTAAGCTGGGGCAAGGGAGAAGGGAGTGTTTAGGGCCCCATTAAACAAGTCTACAGTACACATCTTGTCTTCAGCCTGTCTGCTGGCAAGATGATAAAAGCGAAATGCAGATGTTTTTCTTACATGCTAAATTAGTTAATAAATCATATGCGTGAACGAGCTTTGGCTAGAGCGTCAAGATGTCCGTTAGAAGGCAGACGGGTCTGCCTTTTGAGCTGCGCTAGCTGCCTCCCATCATCGGGGTCTGCCCAGCAGTCTTGTCTTCAGCTCAGCTGGGCACTCTGGTGGCTGACAAATGCCTCGTCGGGCAGGGGCTGCCGGGACAGTGGACCCCTGACCTGCAGGGACGATGACAGCGAAGGCCAGGGGGCCAACTCTGCTTCTTGTTGACTCACGAATGCTGAGCGGTTTTCAAGGCTCAGGGCAGGGACACACGTGGACGTGCATGCACGCACGTGTGTATGAGTTCACTGGGCTCCCTGTTTGTAGATGGGGATTTGCATGGCCAACTGAGACTCTACAGAGAGACTAGGAAGTGGCGGATAAAGGTCCTGTCTACCGCCCGCCTGTCTTTAACTGTCTCACCAGCTGTAGCTTAAATTCCCAAAGTCCGTACACGGGTACATCTCTGTCCTTGCCCGGAGCCATCTGGGCTACCCTTGCGTGCCCATGGCAGTGACCCGAGAGCTTTCTCATCCATCACTTAGCAGGCCTTTCTTGAGAACTCACTGTGAGGTACAGTCCCTGGTCTCACGGGCCCGTTCACCTCGTGGGGAAGGCACATGGGTAGAAGCAGCACTTGGGGCTGGTGGAAGGCTTCTGCTGGGGAGACCTCCAAACCACACGGGGATGAGGCTGTGCCAGCGCATCGTGGTGCAGGGTGTGGGGGGGAAGGGGTGGGGGGGCGTGAGGATGTCTGTTCAGCTCGGACTGAACTGCAGAGTGGGGGGCAGAGGGCGAGACAGGGGCCGCAGGTGAGCCCAGGAGGGCTAACAGGGATTGTAAATGCTGCTTCCAAATTTAACCTTATTCTGAGGTCGAGAGCTGAGGCAAGAGTGGCTCCAGGCAGGACAGGATGGGCAGGCCTCGGGCAGGGCAGTGGGATGCAGGATGGTGACAGATGGGACGGCTTTTGAGGTGGCAGCATCAATAGAATGTGGTGACTGCTGAATTGTGGAGGAGAGAAGGTGAGAGCCAGGGAAACGGAAGGCGGAAGACGGGAGGCAGGCTTTGCTTGCGGTCTCTGAGGTTATGGACTCTGCGGTCTCAGGGCACCCCCGTCCCCCGCTCCTTCCCACGTGAGGGCTCTCCCTGCTCACTCCACCACAGTTACTGGGCTGCAGGCAAGCCTTCCCCATCATCACTACACAGCTCCCAGGGGCCCGGGGGTTGGTCGTGTTCAAAGGCCGACCCTAACCTGGGAATTGGAATGTTTCAGAATTAGTCACTGCTTTTGCCTTACAGAATGAGTCTGGGCGGGGTGAACGGAGAGTGTTAGGTATAGCACCCTCAGGTGTAGCTGGTACAGCACCTGCTGGGAGCAGGTGGCTCTGTATCCACAGGTGTGGACATCCCTCGTTATCCTCCGCTGACCAGTGTGTGGCTGTAACCAGTTCCCGCTGCAGCTCCCCAGCCTCGCCCTCTTCATCGCTGGGAGTCCAGCCCAGCGCCCCCCTGGATTTCATCCCCACCTTGTGACCTGGACCCTTCCCAGCCTGACTCTGCCCACCCCTCCCCTCCCCAGCTGGTCTCCTCAGCGGTCCTTCCTTAAGTCAGGGCCCCTAAACCACCTGATAGAAGCCTTATCTGTTTCGCCTTGTCTCTGCCCTACAGAATCCTGCCTCACCTCACCGGCCCAGCCCAAGTCCAGCCTCTTCTTGCCTCTTACTCCCAGGGCCATTCCTTCTGCTTCCTGTAATGCCTGACCTGCTCTGGGGGGTGCTGAGTGCGCCGCTCTTTATGAATCGCGGTTGCTACCTGCAGCCCGTTGGGCACCCGGCGATGCTCAGACACGCACGCTGCTGTCCTTCTGTCTCAGCTGTTTCTTCTCTGCCTGTCGGGACTCTCCTCATAGCCCTCCCAGGTTGTCCCCCTAACCTGCGAACGTGTAGAAAACCCATGAGGAATATCCCCTTCTTCCGCAAAGCTCTCCCTGATACTCTCATCCAGTCGCCTGCCCCCTTCTTCTTCCATCTGAGTGCTCATGGTGCTTGTATCTTTCTGGATCCCCAACCTTCTCAGCTTCTCCGCTTTGGGTTATGGTCAGGTGGGGATGCTAGTAAAGTCTCCCTAGACTGTAAGTGCCGATGGGCACGTGCTGCACTAAAGCCACTCTGGGCAGCCCTGCTGCACGTAGCAACACAGACTGAATTCATCTGAATTGCATTATCCACACTTCCCAAGGTGATCCAAGTCAGAGCCATTCAGATCACGGACCAGTAGAGGAACGGAATTCTCCGGAAGGCACTGCAGAATTCCTCCTCCAGCAGATC